AAAATAGTTTTTTTATTACTCTCAAATTTTGCATTTTGACTTAAAAAATTACATTCTTTAAAATGATGTATAAATTCATATACATTAAAAAATTTTCGGCTATTATTAATAAAATAAAAAGTAATAAACAATTATTATAATTATTTTCTGCATAGCATATCTTTGGATTTTATAATCATGTGCATAGATTTTTCGATTTGCTTAACGACATATACATAAAAAGTGAAATTTAAATTAAAAGGATCAAACTTTCAACCACTCCGCTAATTTAACTAACATATTACGATGCTTTCCATATTACTTCCTTCCATATTACGATAGTCAAAACTCCGTCGTAATAAAAGGTATGTTTATGCAGAGAAAGTACGTCTTAGTGCCAGATTCCGTAATATAATTAATACCAAGTACTAATTAACTAGCATATTTGAGTTCGCCCATTTGAGTCATCAAAATTGACTTTTTGTAAAATTTTTAGAACAAAGGTTATTTAGGGTGATATCTTTTATTCTGCACACTGTACCAAGCTCTTTGAATTTCCTTTGTTAAAATCTCATTTTATGACATTATTTAATTTTACGTTCTCAGTTTTTTCTATTCTCCAATCCTTTTGTCTTATAATTTAGAATAAATTTTCTTGAATTAACTTTTCATTTAGAGGAATGGGAAATTTTTTTTTCTTATAGAAATTTTATCTGCACATCAATTTCATTTTATCAAAGATTTTACACCTTATTCAGGGATAAATTCGGCTCTCTTTTTCTGCAATGTTGAAAAAAAATGGAAGAAAGATTTTGAAGGAAGTCTGGGACACATTTTTGAAACATCTTTGCAAATTTTCGTATTGTTTTAAGTATGTATACTATTGTATCATACAAAAAATATGCATGAAACACGCAAAGATGAATAATTTTAAATGTTTATAAAAAATTCTACTTCTTAAAGTAATTCAAGAAATATTACGCTTCGATATTTGAAGATTTCGTTTAATTTTGAATAAAAATGACAATATTTTAATTTTTCTTATGCGTTTTTTAACAATTAGAAGTTCAATTTTTTTTTAAAATTACAAAATAGAATAAAATTTTTTTTTTTAATTTCTTGGAAACAAACTGAAGCTAAATAACTAAAATCTAGGCATTCCAAATTTTAATGCAATTATCTTTATTCGATTTAGATAATTTGTCTTCGTGGAGGACTTTTTGATGGAACTAACCCACATTTGCGTTACATGGAGAAGAAAACCTCCCACTGTTAGCATGTCGAAAAGGGGACTCTAATCCATGATCCACTGAGGATATTTTTAGTCAGTACTGTGATCGGTGAGAGCCGGGAGTTCGTATCGACCAGCCATTGCTGGAATTCAAACCGTGTCAACTCACTGCAAAGCGAGCACTCTACCCCCTGAGTCACTACGTCTCAAAATCATGAGTTAAAAAATATCACTTCGTACAATAAGCTGTAGTAAACAGTTACCCGTGAAAAGATTGATCCCAGACAAACGGGACAAGGTGCTTGGCTATCGTTGGGTGGTGTGTGTGTGCCCCACTTGGCTAATCTAAAAAGTAGATGCCACAATGGAATTTTTACGTTCTCGAACTTCTTTTTCGATTGTATATTAATAAAACACATAAATCTACCCATTATAAATCTGTCTATAAAATGGCATTGACAACAATATATCAACAGTTTATTTTAGGTACAAATTTTAGGTATTTAGTATAATTGGCGATGTAGTATGATGTAAATACGAAATATCATAATTTATAGATCAAAAATGTCTTAATCGAGAATTATCGGCGAAAAATTGCTCTTTATCATGTTACTTTAAAACGATGCTATAAGTTTCAAATTTATTATTTTCTTATGCAAAGTGATGAGGGTAAACAATTTTGATAATAAAGCAAGCATGACCAGGAGAAAAAAGAATTAACTAACTTTAGTGCTTTTATAATTAAATTCTTATTTATATAATTAAGTTTTTATTTATATAATTAAATTCAGCAATATTTAAGACTTATCAAATATAATCGATTTTCTTTTTTTCCCTACTCATAAGTGTTGAAACCTTCCTTTACAAAAGAGTGAGATCCCGGCAATCCGGAGCGAGTGGTAAATTTCCAAGACTGCCGGGTCACAACGCAACCAGAGGCAACTCATTGATTGTAAATACTCAATGTAAATATGTATTTATTATTTTTAATTTTAATTTTTGATTTTTGATTTTAATTTTTTATTATTTGATTTTTAACCTTTATGTTTTGCTAATTCTGTTATTATATTATTATTCTGTTATTATATATACAAATAGATGTTTATTTTATTATCACAATATCTTCACTTATAAAACTTTTGACTGTCCCCCTTACTTACCAGGTGATTTTAACTTTTTTCAGGACTTTTAATGCAAGATTTAAAGCATAATGCCAACGTGTCGAGATTTTTTAAATTTCCAGCGAAACCTTACAGCCAGGTCAGAGGACACTTCAGATTATCACACCATCGGCAAATTATATTTTAAATCTCATATATCAATAAATTAATTAATTAAATAATAATAAACTGCTAGCAAGAAGCTGTCCAATTTTTTCATTTTTAAAGCAAATAAAATTGTTCTATAAAATAGAGATCTTGTAAAAAAGTAAAGATTTATCTTTTCTATTCTTATTGAAGAACTACAAGGAATCATCTCCTCCATTTTTGAAATCTGACACTTAACACAATTATAGGCTGATTCAGCTTGCATGCACTGCTTCGATAATACAGTCACAGAAACATAAGTTTTTATAATAAGCCCTGGTAAAATTTTATTCACTAAAATATTCTTCATGAGGGGTAAGACTTTTATGACAAAAAAAGAATAAAGTTATAAAGCTTTTATGACTAAAAAGAATATATAAAATATAAAAATATAATCAACATGGCTAACAGATGTTATTATGGATTGGGAAACCAGTTCAAGTTTAAATGCAGAAGTAGTGAAACAAAAATACAGTTGTACGAGGCATCAGTGAGACCAATAGTTCAATATGGCGATGAATGCTGGACAATTAACAAAGCAAATGAAAAGAAACTAATGACTTTCGACAGAAAAACATTAAAATATTTTTTGGTGCAGTACGAGAAAACGGTGCCTGGAGAATTCGTTGCAACCATGAATTACAATCAAAATACAAAGAACATAACATAATAAAAGTTATCAAGGTTTCTCAAATAAGGTGACCAGGGCATGTATTTTGATATAACGATGAAAATTCTGTTAAAAATAACATTCCAAACGCCAGAGGGAAAAAGAAAACGAGGAAGACCTAGAACAAGATGGTTAGATAGAGTAGAGAAGTGGTTAAAGGACTTGGGAGTTAATAGATGAAGAAATATAGCATCGAATAGATCTAGATGGAGTAAACTGACTGAGACGGCCTTGGCCGGTAATCAGCTGTAGTGTCTAAGTAGAACAAGAAGAAAATGTAAAAAAATATTCACTCGGAATTTGATTAAAAATAATACAATTCAATGAAGAATTTAAAAACTCAACAAAAGAATTTGTTTTCAAATACTATGAGGACCACACTAGCTAGCACCACAGCTAAGACTTTTTTTAGTACTAGCACCACAGCTAAGAAAAGGTTTAATTCTTCACGCAGCCTTCATATGCATTTGAAATTGTTTTTTGTCCAGTCACCCCTCTCATTCGGCTACAATAGAGGAGTTGCATATTTGGCATCTTTTCTTTATCTTGACAACTATCATATGAAACTTATTTATCCAAAGATAATTCCATGAACAAAATTATTTTTAATAATTAAATTTATTTATTGTCGCAGAAATTGAATAGCAAGGTATATAATTCTAATACAAGTTTAATCTACACAATTTTAAATGATTAAAATCCAAAATTTAAAGAGGATTTTTCAGATAGTACGAGAAGCAAAAACTTAAAAATTCGACTTCTTTGAAGTAATGAAATGCGCAAAAAGGGAAATTAACATTAAGGTGTCCAAAATTTCGACCATTTTATGACCTGAACTAGAGGGATCAGATTTTTGAGGCAATCCCCTTATTTTTAAGGGACCACAGTCCAAATCCGACAAATATATGTATGTTTATCCAGAGAAAGTATAACTGATTTTGTATTTCAAAATATCATCTCCTCTAATTAATTAATATATTTAAGGTCAGGGTATTCACTTTTTTTGGCACACTGCGCATAGATACATTATTTTAAACGTTGCATTTGCATGATAAATAAAATGTAGCTAATTCAGTAATTGTGTTCAGCCCAATTATTGAATCGCGCGATGATTAATTCCTAATGAATATAGCCAATTCATTAAGAATTAACTTGGACGCAAGAACTTTTGAAAATATTTTATTTAGCGTTATGATATCACTATGTTTAAAATGCTTTTGCATAATATTTTTATCATCCTCTTTACATTCTTGAAATTCACTTCGATTATTTTCTTTGACCGGGGGCCGAAATTGAAATCCAGACGAAAATCCGGGAGAGCCTCAAATGTTCCAGGGCACCTGATAAATCTATTAATATCCCACAATTATTTTGCGGTTCTCGAATCCCACTTCTTTTCTCAATAATATAATATGATGATAATTCAGAAATAATTTAATTAAAAATAATATACAAAGAAAGTTTCTTACAGATAGTAAATACTATTCTTTATACGAATAATCAACATGGAGCTTAATAATCGTTTTTCCGAACCGTTTGAATCATTATTTGTTACACTAGAGATAAAATCAATTGAACAGGATTGATGAAAATCAAACTTGCCCAGGGAAGCCAAGGGGCGGGCAAAAAAGAACATACACCCCAGGAATTTCAGTAAAAGAAGTGAGTTTTCCAATACCCCTCTCCTAAGTAAGATTTTTTTTTTTTATTCTGTTTGATGTTTGACGGGAAAAGCAAAGTGCCCGGATTTTTCCCGCTGCTTTCCCAGCAAATTCCTTTTTTGGCGGAGTAATTGGCGAGAGGGAATAAGATTGGCAACCCCCTCTCAGTGGAGTCGGCCGATCCAAACGCGACGGGCATGGGCTCGACCCGGTCCCACTAGGCCTGCGCCCTCCATCCCTCTAAATATATCTCCTCTACACAATATCTTCTTCCACATTACTAATGAATACTCCCGCTTTATTCGAGTGCCTTTTCAAAAATACGGATTATCAGCGTTTTTCTTTTGATTGTGATTCTAATTGTTTGTGCGACTGACTATGCTTAGATTATCCTTTAGCCTATCATTAAAGAGGTCTCTTTAGAGTTGCGTTGAAGGATTGAATTATTTGAACTAGTAAGTATTGGACTTTATTTAAATAATATTTGGGTCTGATTAACTTGGTACATTTAAATCGCTTTCATTTTAAATAATATTTTTCTTTCGTTAAGTTGAATTAGTTTTTTCATTTCCTTCAAAAATTTTATTCTGCTTCTAAATAACGAATTCTGTTGAAATTGTGTTTTGTTCATCTTTATGAAAACGAATCAATGCTTTAATTTAAATCGTTCGCAAAGTATTATTTAAACTTTTAATAATATTTTCAGTCATTTAGAAGAAAATATTTGTAATTACCGTTCTTAGTTTCAAGAGTTGACTAATTGTATTATCTTGTTCCAGTTTTATGTGAGCAATTATCCATCATTCCCTATAATTGGTGGATATTTTCTGGTCAATTTAGTCTAGATATATGGATTTTATTTTGAATTAAAAAACATTTGATATCTATTCTAATTTAAATCTCATTTCTCTTTCCCTCAAAGTTTCTACTCTAATTACATATTTTGTTGAAACGGCGTTTCTTTCATCTTTGAAAAAAAAGGAAACGATTCACTTTTAGTTTAAACTGTTTAAAAAGTCATATATGATTTTTTTAGCAATTTTACTCATTTCAAAAAGATAGACTTTGTTCTAAGTTTCAAGAGTTAATTAGTTGTTGTCTCTTAATCATGTTTTACAAGAGCTCTTATTCATCAAAATAGATTTAATCTAAATTTAAAAAAGTCTAGAGTTTTTTTTTAATGAATAAATGTACTCCTTGGTTCCTTATTAATCTATATCTAAATAGTGATTTCAAATGTTTTCCTTTGATGAAAATTATTCTAAATATTTAGCTCAGGTATTTGAGAAGTGATAAACATTATAATTGGTTTTGAAGCAAAATCATGATTTTTGATAATTTAACTTGCTTACATTTTTTCAAGTATTTGTTAGTAATAAATTGTTTCAAAGTTTTTCTTGTTCAAAAAAATATACTGCTTTTATTGTAATAATAATATATTTTGAAAAAATGTGTAAATATATCAGTTCTTTCAGATATAGCTTTATTGATTTTAAACACTATGTCAAATGCATTAAAGAAAATGCGGAATGTTAAAATTAAAAAAAAATGGGAGGAGCTTAGTTGCCAACTTAATTGTTTGAATGGATGGTTTGGTTAATTAAAGTATTTTAATTATAAGCCATACTCATTTCAAGGTTTTCTCCTTTTATGGGATTTACACTTGCCAAGAAAATATGGGTTCGAAGAACTTGTGGTGTTTTAATAATATTTCTTCTTCTTATTTACATTTTGAGCCAGATTTAGTTTATAGCGTCTTTTGTAAAAAAATTATGTTTGTTACAATATAGCTCTTTCCTACACTTGTGCCATTAAACTAATCACACAATTATTTTTCACATTAGATTATTTTTCAGTAATAAAATGAAAATCACTGTGAGAAGAAAGTAATACTTGAATTCTGAATTAAAATTTTTTTTCCTTGAGGGAATGTTAAACTCTTAAATATCTTAAATGATTCCTGGTTTTATTTTCTTTTTCAAAAGAAAAATTTTGAAGAAATTAACTTCTGTTAATTGATAAAGATATGCAAATTTTTCACTGTTTCGAATTTCATTTTCTTGAAGCAAAAAAAAAAAAAATTTTTTTAATGTTAGTTACATTTTTTTCATCAAATGAACTTTTTAAATCATTCGACATTTTTGAAAGAACCTAAAGAAAATTTTATTTTGTTTCATAACTATTACCAGACTATTAAATTATTGTTTTTTCTATTTGGGAAAATAACCTAATTAAAGTGCTAAAGGTAAACTAATATGGTAAAATAATGTGTTTAAAGTGCTAAATAATAGAGTTAAAGTGTAAAATATGTAGAAACTTTCAGTCTGTGAAGTAAGTAAGCACTCAAACATTCCAAAGATGCGCCTAGTTTTCAGTTACTTTAGTTTCTCTGACCACATAGTATGCTTGCAGTGAATACCTATTTACAGATTTCCTACGTGCATCAATAAGATAGAGAATAGTAGCTTTTAACAAGTACATATTCCTGCCGAGCGATAGCTTATTGAGAATTTTTTCTACAATTATTATTTTTTTAAGTTCAAATGCAGATTATGATGAAAATCTGAATTATCTTCGTTGATTCCTTAAACTAATCAAAAGACAAACCTATTTCTACTAATTATTAGTTACTTTTTTTCGGAGTTGATCTAATAGCGAGAAATTGCTTACTGTCTTAACGGAACATTTTATATTCATTTTCTACAAAGGAAACTATGTAAAAAATGAATATAATAAGGTGCTTTATAAAGATCGCTCTTATATAATTCCTTATCAAAAATGAAAAGTAAAAACATTGAGCTCACAAATTAATATTTAACTGAGGAATTAACAAAACTAGACTTGAAATTTGAAAAAGTGCATTAAAGAATGGGTTATGTAGGGTTCACACCAGTAATGCAAATTAAGTTGTCCAAAAAATTTATAAGGTAGACAAACTTGAGGGAAAGAAATTGAATTTTACAATTGTATAATCAATGTTAATGCACACATCAAAAATTAGTAATTGCCATCGACTTCACTCTAAAACTAATTAGGTCCATCACCCCATAATGATTAAAGACAATAAGCGATTAGTAAAGATTATGATTAAAGATTAAGATATTTATTATTAATAAAGATTATAATTAACGATTAGAGCAAAAACATTTTTTTTTATTGATGAGCAATTATACTGTCAGTGCATGGATACAAAGCACAGTACAACATGTAGATTAGAAATATCAATTTTTAAATTTCAAATTTTTTGCACCAGACACTCTCAGTTATTCCATTGGAAAAATTTTAAAACTGAAATTTAACCTACTAGTAGAACAATAAAATTAGTACAACATTTTTTTTTTTTTAATTCATGGCATTCGCTGCAACAAACTATTTTTCGTTACAGTTTTGTAACTTCGAAACATATTTCAAGACGACAATTTTGTCGCCTACGCGAATGATTTTAGCGGCATTTGTCAAACATTTTTATCAAGACAATTATTGCCATACTGGCGTGACCCCATGGCATGTGTAATAAATAACAAAACAGGTTCGATTGAAGATATAAACTTGAAAGGATTTTTAATTAGCATTTTCAATTTCTTCAGTAATCAAAGAAGAGGCGATTGAAGAGTGATTTGTGAGACTTTGACTATTTTTTTTCTTTCGCTCGTAGAGATAGGTTCCCCAAATGAAAAAGTAAAGGTCATAGTAGTCCCATGACCCTCTCCCTTGTAATTATCCATTTTATTTTATAACTGGCGTTGAACAGCTGACACAGTTTTGAGATTACGATTATCAATATTCAACTCCGTTGCCTTGTAATTTTGAACCCAATCCAGAAGATAAGCGAACTCTTGAATCAAGCATTGTGACAAACTAGCCTTCGTGAAGGGCTTCACTTGGAGAGGAAAACCATGAAAAGCTCTCTCAATTAGCGTGATGGCAAAGGGATTCTAAACCATGATCTTTTACCACTGAGGATACTTTTATTTCAGCATTGTGGTCGGTGCGAGCAGGGAGCACTGGGATTCAAATTCTGGTCATCTCATTGGGAGGCAAGCTCTCTATCCCTTGAACAATCGTGGTTCAAAATAAATAAATAGAGCCTAACTTTTTTTGAAGTTATATCCATTGAAGGAAACCAATAACAATCTAACTTAAAACCCAGTGAGGTTTGGATGAAATGAAGCTTTTGGGTATCAAACAGGTTACAAAATACTAAGAGAGCCCATAAAGAATAGGTTAGATAGTATTCCTCGAGTTCTCCAACACTTTTTTTTTGTTCAAGTTAAACTCCTTAATTCACATAGCATGTTATGAACACTTCCCTTCAATAACGGAGGAGATATTCCTTTAAATTTCTCAAAAAAAAATACTAACATTTTTATATCTTTAGATGTGTTTAGACCATGCAATTTTCAATAAATTTGCATGTTCCACGCATACTTTTCAATACTTATTGCAAGAACATGCATACTTATCAATAAATTTTTAAGCTTTCAGAGATTTAAAGGGCCGGCAATAAATTACAATCAAAAACAAGTATTTTTAAGCATCCTATGTCCCAAAATAAAACAATAAACTTGACATGTATCGATTACTTGGATTATTATTTCCAATAATTGAGTATAATTTCGTAAATCTAGTTTAAATATTTAAGGAATATGGACATTTTTATAAAAAAACAAATTTTTGTCTTACGTTTCTTTGTCATAACTTTTTATCCAATAAAAATAAGCAATATTTTTGGAGTAATTTGTTATGTATATCAAAGTTATTATTTTGAAATTTGAAGAAGAAATTTTTAAATTTGAAAACAAATTATGTGAGATATGTGCCTATAAAATAGTTCTTTTACACTGCGCATGCGTGGAAAAAATTTAAAAAAAATTTTCATAGTTTTGTAGTGAATCTTATTTAGTAATTAATGAAAACAATCCGTTTCGAATATTTTGAAAATTTAAAAAAAAATTTCCAGAAATTTTCTAAATAGTTTTTGTACTTTTTTAAAAGAAAGCTCTCATTGATAAGGGGTTTTCCACAAATTTCATTTTGTATTATAGGAAAAAATTAAACGACAAATAATAATACCTTCAAATAATCATCCGTACACCAAAATGAAATGATATAGAAGGAAAGCTTGCTTTAATGCGGGATGATCCCCAGCAAGGCCGATGTCAATTATTAATAATTGTTGTTTAAAAATACAAAATAAAATTTCTGAGAAAAGCCCTTATCATTCAGAACTTTTTTTTAAAAAAAGAGCAAAAACTACGTAGAAAATTGTTAGAAACTTTTTAAATTTTCATATACATATTATAATCTGATTTTTTTCATTAGTTAAGAAGCACGAGTCGCTACAAAAGTATAAGAAAAAGTTTTTGATATTTATCCACACATGCAAAGTTTGAAAGACCTACTTTAAATGTTGATATCTTGACGAATTTTCAACAAATTTTCTTTTAAATTTTAA